TTGGTCTTGATGTATTGTCTGTATTAAGATTCTTTTCAATCTAGTTGCCAACATGGTTGCATATATTTTGTAATCCATGTTTAGTAATGAGATTGGTCTGTAGTTTTTGATTTCTTTACCCTCCGTATTTTCCTTATTTATGACAGAGATGATCGCTTCGGACTATGCTGGTGGCAATTCTCCCTTTTCTTCAACAAATTCCAAGAGTTTCTTATTTGGTTCAAGGAATACATTTTCTAATTCTTTGTACTACTCAGCTGGAAGACCATCTGGGCCTGGTGATCTCCCTTTTTTTGCTTTTTGTGGGCTTCTATAATTACTGCATATGTTAAAGGCTCATTTAAGGACTGCATTTAATCTTTAGTCAGTTTCATTTGATTGTATTTCAGTACATATTCTTTCTGAGATTTTTTTTGTCTACTTCTTTTTTATTGTATGAATTTTGGTAGAAGTCCTCAACAATCTTTTTTATTTCTTCTTGTTTAAATTTCTCAGTCCCTGTTTCATCTTTCAGTGTCTGTATTATTGCTTTCCCTTTCCTTGATTTATATGCTAACAATCTCCCTGGCTTATTTGCATTTTCAAAAAGATTTTGCTCTGCAAATTTAAGCTTCTTTGCAGTTTCCTCACTGAGCAATATATTTATCTGGTGTCGTACTAACTTTATCTTCTCTTTCAGTTCTGTATTTGATGGATTTTGCTTCAGCTATAGTTCATCTGAGGCTAATCTATTTTCCAAAATCTTATATTTTTTCTTTCTCTTTTTTGTTTTGATGCAAATCTTCTGGTTGCTCCTCTAAAAATGTCTTACTTGCTTCCCAAACCATTGTCATTGGTATTTCTGGCCTCATGTTCTGTTTGAAGACGTCCATGTCTTTTATTTGCTTGATAAACTCCTCATTTTTTAAATGTGAAGTATTGAGCTTCCAATTAAATTCTCTTGATTTACTACCCAGTTATAATGAATTGGAATTGTGGTCTGCAAATGTGTTAGGAAAAATATCTATTTGCTCTAATTCTTTCATTGGGCATTTTGAGATCCAATATGCATCAATTCTTGACCACAATTTATATCAGTTAAAGTAAAAAGTATAGTCTTTTGTCTTCGGGTAACATGTCCTGATATTTACTTCTTCCACCAATTGTAGAAATTTTCTTGAGATTGTTCCTCTCTTTTTGGTTATTTTATCTGATTTTGTGTCTAGTTCTTTGTCAAAAACAGCATTAAAATCTCCTATCACACAATAGTGATCATAATCTTTGTTAGTTTGTTGTAATTGTTCAAAGAAATTATCTTGATTTCCATATGGAACATATATATTAATAATTAGCATTTTCGTTGATTCTGTTTGGATTTCCACCATTAATATCCTTCTGTTGTCTGAGGCAAAAGTTAGTTTTGGTTCCAGTTCTTTCTTTATGTACATAGCCATGCCTTTCTTCTTTTTACTTATGTCCAAAGCTGCAAACAATTTTCCTAACCTTGAATATTCCAACTTTTTCTGATCTGCTCTTTTCATATGGGTTTCTTGTATGCAAATTACATCAGATTTCTGTTTCTGCAGTTGTAGAAAGGTCTTTTTCCATTTTTGAGATGAGTTCAGGCCATTTATATTGACTGAAAAGATCTTCATTTGTTTTTTTAGTCATCTTGTTGTTGGTTACTAACTTCCTGTTTTTTCCTCATCATACCTCTGGTATGTCTTGGCTCAGCTACTTCCTGTTTTTCTGGCTCTTTGTCTGATTCTGACTGTGATGAGTGGTCTGATTTTTCTTGAGGTCTTTCTTCTGATTTCCCCTCCTTCTTTCTTTCTCCCTCTTTTGTCAGTTTCTTCTCATTTTTTCCACAAAGTCTTGCACTTTCATCAGTGAAGCAATAGTGTATCTCTGTGTATCAATTTGAAAGAATAAATCTTCTGGTGTCAGCCATCTATGTGAAATTCCATTTTGTTGAAGTAAAGATGTAAGGCAGGAGTATTGCTTCCTTCTCTGCCTCATTTGCCAGGGAATTTGTTTTAGGACATTAATTTTCCTACCTTCTATTATCAATTGCTTATCTTGTGAGGCTCTTAAAACATTGTCTCTAACAGATTTCTTCATAAATCTCACGTGGATTTCTTTGGTGAGATTATTTCTTCTTGCGTATGCTGAGTTCACCCTGTAAGTTGCCTCCATATATTGTTGCAAGTTGGCTGCTTCCATCCCTATTTCTGCAGCCAAAGCCTTACTCATTAATATATCTAGACCCTCCCCTTCAATTTTTGCCACATTTTGAAATCTAAGCATCTTCAATGCTCTCTCCATCTCTAGTATTATTAATCTGTCATCACTTTGTTTTTGATTTTTCTGCACTGCTTCTAATGTTTCTTCAGTTTGGTTCACTCTAGCATCTGTATGTTTTTCCTCAAGATCTTGTGTCTTTGTTTTGTTTTCAGCTGTTGTTTGGCATCTGAAATCTCTAACGTCATCTCTTTCATCTGATCTGCTATTTGGCTGAGATATTCATTAACTTTTTAAAATCCTGCTGTTAGTAAATTTTGCATGGTAGTCTGCCATTTTTTTGTCTGGTGCTTGTGCCACTAGTTTTTGCAGACTTTGAGACTGGGCATTTGGGGATTTGGTTTTTTGGAGGCCATTTCGATCTTTTCAATGTCAATATCTCAGTTTTTCCTCCTACTGTCTCTGAATGGACTTTGTATAAGTTATACAGTACTATATCCTTCACCAGAATGTCCAACCCTCAAATATACCACATGCTCTTTCAAATGTTTCCACTGTTTTAACCAACAACCAAAGCCAATGACCAAAACCCTCCCCCAGTTTCTTCTTCCCATCCTTACACAGCTAATATGGTATGTAAATCAGCGTTTAGCCCAACAGTTTAAAATACAACTGTGGCAAAAATGTTCCTTCTTCTCAAGAAATCCTAGCAGTGCCTCGCTTAACGATTACCTTGTTAAACGACAAATCTGCTTTACGATGAGGTTTTTGCAATTGCAATAGACATCGCAAAATGATGTTTAGACCGAATCTGCTTTACGATGAGGTTTTTGCAAAATGATGTTTAGATAGGCAACTTTCACTTAACGATGATCGGTTCCCTGCTTCGGGAAATGATTTTTCACTAGACAATGATTTTAAAACAGCTGATCGGTGGCTCTAAAATGGCCGTCCACTGTGCAAAATTGCTCCCCATTTTAAAACAGCTAATTGGTGGCTCTAAAAGGGCCGCCCACTGTGCAAAATTGCTCCCCACTTTGTTTTAGGACGGATTCCTCGCTTTACAGGCACCGAAAATGGCCGTCCCTAGGATCTTCGCTGGACGCTGAGGTATTTAGCCCATTGGAACGCATTGAACCAGTTTTCAATGCATTTCAATGGGCTTTTTCGTTTCGCTTGACAAGGATTTCGCTTAACAGCATTTTCAATGGAACGAATTATCCTCGTCAAGCGAGGCACCACTGTATTATGTCTCTCAACCTCTATTACCAGAGTTCCACGCAATCCAAAGAGAAAATCAAGCTAACAAAAATCACAGGCTTTCAGACCTCAATATTTGTACAGTTCCAACCTCCATAAGATGTTCCAGAATCCCAAACAGCATTCCACATATCAAATCAGAGCTAGGAAAAATCTCAGGCTTTCCAGAACAATAGGAAAGCCAACATACTCTTATAATTGAAACAAAAATCTGCACTGATTTAAACTGCATCATCTCCGTGTGAGGTTAAAAAAACAAACAAACCCAAAACAATATTTACATGATATTCAAATGATACACTCCAGCAACAGTAAGTTTCTGATCTTGGCAACTTAGAGGTGGGAAAAAGACAAAATATGAGAGTCAGATAGCCATCTTACAGATAAAATTCCAGACTGTCCAGAAATCTTGGACTAAGTTCTTATCACCCTTGGCTATGCTGATGAGGGATGATGGACACTATCTTCTAACAGCATCTGGAAAACAAACAGTTCCTATGCCTGCTAAAAACTCTTAAAATAAAACCAAAATAAACAATTCTTTGTCCTGAAATATACTCTATAGGAAAGGCAGATGAGAAGTTTCTCTCAAGATTATATGATCAAAGGGAACTCAATTTGACCACAGTAATTAACTTACCTCAGCTATTATTTGATCTTCATTATTAAAATTTAAATCCTCACCAGATAGGATAGGGGCCATAGCCTCACAAGAAGGAGGTGGATTAGTCAAACTGCTTGAAAAGTTTTGTTTGGAAACATTAAGCTGGCCTTTCCTTGAGTCTGTGGTTAAGGAAATCTCATGGCAATAGGAGTGAAGAAAAGCCCGGACTCCGTCAATCCCAACGAACTGCGAGACTGGAACACCACTAAAGTTTATATTCCCTGACTCAAGCAGCTGAGAATTTCTCCATCTGTACAACTTCAGGGCCAGCAAAACAAGGAGGAAGGTGAAGAACAGGCAGGAAACAAAGGCCACAGCAACTACCAGGTAGAAGGTGAGATCCGAGGGAGCATCTAAAGGAGCTGAGACGCTAGTCAGGTCTGAGAGGATTTCAGGAATGTTGTCAGCCAGCACCACAGTCACCGTCACTGAGGCAGAAAGAGATGGTTGCCCATTGTCCTTGACCAAAATCACCAGGCTTTGCTTGAGGGTGTCCTTCTCCAAGAAGAACCGAGCTGTCCTGATCTCTCCAGTGTGGAGTCCCACAGTGAACAGCCCTGGTTCCGTGGCCTTGATCAACTGGTAAGAGAGCCAAGCATTTTGTCCAGAATCTGCATCCACGGCCACTACCTTAGTGACCAGGTAACCAGGCTCTGAGGAGTGAGGAGCCAGCTCTATCCCAGTGGAGCCATCGGTGGGAGGGGAAGGGTACAGGATTTCTGGCGCATTGTCATTCTGATCCAGGATAAAGAGGGTCACAGAGACATTGGAGCTGAGGGGTGGGGAGCCTCCATCCTGGGCCTTCACCTGGAAGTTGATCTCTCTGATGTCACCCATCTGATTGTCAATGATGGAGTAGCTGATTCTGGCATTCTCTTCCCAGTCTGCATCACTTGCTTGGAGTGAAAAGACTGAGGCTCCTCTTGGATTGTTTTCTACAAGATAGGAGGTATAAACTCCCTTGCTAAAGACTGGAGGGTTGTCATTTGTGTCTAGCACCTGGAGAGAAATAACCTGAGAGGTAGATAGTGGTGGAATCCCCTCATCTGTTGCTGTAATGGTAACACTGTAGGAAGCTGCTTGTTCTCTGTCAAGGGCTCTGTCTGTCACCAAAGTGTAAAAATCACCCATTGTATTTTTCAGTTGAAAAGGAAGGTTGCTGGCAATCGAACACTTAACCTTCCCATTGACTCCCGAATCTTGGTCTTGTACATTTAAAATGGCAAGAACAGTTCCTGTTGGTGAATCCTCGGGAACAGAGCTGACAACGAAGGTCGTTGCTAATTCAGGTGCATTGTCATTCAGGTCTGTAACTGTGATCCTAACTTCTGAACGGTCACTCAGCCCACCTCCGTCCATGGCTTGCACCTCAAATTCATATAAAGATGAAGCTTCAAAGTCAAGGTTTCCCAGAAGAATAATTTCTCCTGTTGTAGAGTTTAACAGAAACATCTGGGAGTCTTTCTTGGTGATTTTTTTGAAAGAATATTTTATTTCTCCATTGATGCCTTCATCCAAATCTGTGGCCCTTACTGTAGCCACTGTGGACCACGTAGGAATGTTTTCCTTGACACTCACTTCATAAAGTGGTTGGCTAAAAACTGGTGCATTGTCATTAGCATCTATCACAATGATATGAATCTGCAGAGTACCAGATTTGATGGGTTCACCTCCATCCAGAGCTGTGAGGATAAGATCATAAACTGATTGTTCTTCTCTGTCCAGCAGCTTTTCCAATGACAGCTCAGCACGCCTGACACCATTTCCTCCTTTTTGAACCTCTAGTGAAAAATAGTTACTCCCTGTGAGTTGATAGCTCTGTATAGAGTTTATACCAATGTCTGGATCTTGTGCCTCTGGCAGAGGAAAATGGGATTTAGGAATAGAGATTTCACTGATTTTCAATTCCCATTCCATTGACAGAAAGCTGGGAGCATTATCATTGATATCCAGAATTTCTATTTCAATGAAATAAAGCTTTAAACTGCTCTCAGCAATAACCTGGAATTTTAATATGCAGACCTCTTCTCTTCCACAAATCTCTTCTCTATCTATCCTCTCAGAAATTTGTAAATGTCCATTATTGACATTCAGAGAAAAATACTGGATTGTACCTGTGCTAGTAACAATGCGGAGTCCTTGGTTTGAAATCTGCCTTCCATCCATTCCCAGGTCCTTTGCAATATTCCCCACAAAAGAGCCTCTGTGCATCTCCTCAGGAATAGAATAGCGGATCTGTCCAAAAACTGTCTTCCAAGCAAACATCAGGATGACACATTGTAGGATTCCTCTTTTGTATCTCCCAAGCCTCTGTCTCTCCTCCATTTCACTGTAGCTCAAAGCAGTTTATCTGTGTTTCTGAAGTATTTCGTTGCCTAAAGTAGAAGTTCAAGCCTGGTTTATTTGTGCTTACACATCTGAGCAGCAGAGATGAGCAGCCTGGATGATTCTGCATCCTTTTCTCTTTTGGACTGGTGAACAGCGACACCCAGAGCCATAAGGAGAAAATGCAGGTGTTTCTTTTCGGAATTGCAATCATGCTTTTTATTATTAAATTGTCCTTCATGCATTTCAAAGTTCTTTTGTTTGTAAACAGATATTGAACAATTTCCCCTAAGTGCGCATTGCAAGACTATACTATTAAATTATATTCCTCTCCACATTCAAATTATATTTCCCTCTCATTATAAACAGATTTCTGTATGTAGGATATACATGTAAAGGATAGATTTGGTTGGTTATTTATCCTGTTTTCGAAAGTCTTTAATATTAAGTCATACATGCCCCCCCCAAAAAGCCAAACTGATGCCTGATGCATTGCTGTTCTCACATACCAACATACACAGTATTCACGTCTGACCAACTTTATTTGGCATCTGAAGTAGCAAATCTCCCTGGTATTAAAAATGCGCCAAATAAAAATTAAACAATGAAATGCAAATGTGAATGCAAAATGTGTGTTTGTGTGTGTGTGTAAAGACAAGTTTTTATGCAATAAGTCATTTTCCCCTCCCTGTGAATGCTGCTGAAAAAAGACTGGTATATTTTAGCTCTTCTGGGGGAATAAAAATCTTAAAGCAGCTAGAAATTTCTTTTCACAGGATATCTTAATATGTTCAGATAGCCTTGCTCACTGAGGATGAGAAAATGTTCAGGTACTCCTCACATCCTCTCCATACTCAGTTAAAGCTGATGAGATTTGCTGGCTATGTCCAATAAAAAAATTAGATATCACTAGTCTGGCTGTGGGTGGGGTACTGCACTGGTGGGTCACTCTCCTCCTAAACTCTTTTTGACCAGCAGATAAAAGTAATTCTCCATCACCTAGTTAAATCATTTAAATCAATGTTGAGTGGTTTCTGATTGTGCCCATTGCCATGTTCACTTGTAATTCCTCACTTCTAACTGTTCCAGAAGCCACTCAGCTTGCTTCTGAGCATGTCTGTTCCTGGTTGACAAACAAATTTCCTCCTGGAATGCTCAGAAGCAACGAGAAAGGCCGAATGGACCACCCTCTGAGCTGCAGCCTCCTTTTTATGGTGATTATTTTCCCTCCCCAGCAAGTGACTCAAAATTGAAGGAACAAGGGCAGTAAGTTTTAAAAGTTTTAAATTACGGGGTAGCTGTTTCCCTTGGAAGGGGCCCCTACTATATAATTTTATATCATTATATATATACACTATATAATTTATATATGTGTGAGAGACAGAGGGCAAGAGGGATACCCCACTTGCTGGAGAGCCATCCCTCCTCAACAACAAAACTAAAGAAGTGGACCCCAAACCTGCACCAGAACCTACAGTGGAACCTCAGCAAGAGACAGAGATAGAGGAGCTGACTGAAGACATGCAGAAAGGGATGATGGGGGAGGTTCAGGGAGAAAAGGCAGGAAGAGAGAGAAAAAGGAGGGTGGAGTTTGAAGCAGGGGCAGGGGAGGTAGAGAGGAGAAAAGACCAGTTACCACCCGGTTGGGAATGGGTGTGGGTGCAGAATCCTTGGACTGGATTATGGGAGACATTAAGAGTGCCAAAAGAGGAGGCAGATTATAGGAGAAGATCCTCTTATTGGGGAGAAGCAGAGACGAGGGAGCACGGAGGTTCCCCCTAGACCCTCTTATTGGGGAAAAGCAGAGGCGAGGGAGCGGAGAAGGAGATTGAGAGAGGAAAAGGAACGAGTAGAGAGAGAAAGGAGAGAAAGATTGGAATGGAGAGTAAGGGAGATGAAGAGAAGGAGTTACAGGGAGGACCCTGGGAAGATCCTGTGGGATGACAACCTGGACGAGGAGACCGTGCCCCTGCTGGAAGGCACAACGAGGCGTACTGTAAAGGACTGGGTCCCAGCTGACCTCTTGGGACCATGGGCAGGAGACTGTGCCCCTGCTGGAAGGCACAACGAGGCAGACTGTAAAGAACTGGGTCCCCGCTGATCTGGGACCATGGGACAACAGTTGTAGACTGTAGAAACCCGTTCCTGTTTAATGAATGGAAGCCCCTTCCAGACCCGTTGTCAGATGGAGAAAGGACTCATAATCGCTGTTTAATGAATGGAAGCCCCTTCCAGACTCATTGGCAGAAAGAGAAAGGACTCATAATCATGTTCCAGACACCTGTTTATTGTTTAATGCATCAATAAATCCCACACCTCTTTTGAAACAACAAAGATCTACTGATTTCTTGGAACTGAATTTGGAACCAAAACTCAAACCCTCACAATATGCAATGTTTTTATTTTTGTTGGTATTAGTTATTTTATCTTTAGAGATTTGGTTCTCTTTGAGAGAAGTTTTATTAGATTATTATTGCTGTTTTATTATACAGTATTACATGTTTGTATTAGATTATTATTGCTGTTTTATTATATTACATGTTTATATTATAATGTTAAGGTTTTGTAAATTGTCCAGAGTAGTGGAAGGAGACAGAGAGAGAGAGAGAGAATAAAGAAGAAATGGACTGCAAAGAGATTTTACGGTAAATGAGGGCACTAGCGTTTCATGGACCAGAAGACTATCCCTCTCCAGTAAAGAAAGAAGGAATGAAACACAAAATGTATATTTAAAGAAAGAGTTAACAGCTATGAAACTACATATGCAGAATACTGAAACAGACATCTCTAATAATGCGGATACCTGCTTCCAATCTAGGATGTGCCTCCTGTTATTTTGTCTCTTTCAAGAAATCTCTTGCTTTGACGGAGGTCTCTTGACTTAGAACTTGATATATGAACTGGACCTTGGTTGACTACTAGATCTCCAGTGCTAACCATCAGTGGACTCGTGTTACCACTGTTGATCCAAAGCTGTTAAGATATTGGGATTAAAGCACTCAATGCTCAACGTTGACGTCTCATGCAAAACATGCTAAGGTTGATAAGCTTTGACAGATTGGTTTCGGTAATTCATTCACTACTTTTATGATTTAGATTCCTCAGTGATGTCCCTGGAATTAGATTCCTTTCCTTTCTCTACTGAACCTTCATGTCTGCCAAGTATACAAAAAAATAAAAATAAAAAAAACAACTGCTCACCTTCATGTCTGCCAAGTATACAAAAAAAAGAAAAGAAAAAAAAATTGAACTGCTACTTATCTAGGCACCAAGCAAACATGGTGACAACTTATTTTGAGATGCTGGAGAATTGTCACCAAATTTGGAAACATGACAAGGCAAAACTAGCCTGGCAAGCTGATTTACAGCAAAGTTTCAGGGATGTTAAAACAGTGTATATTGCCTTCCCCTGCATTTAATTGATATCAGATAGCGCCAGATAAATCATGCTCAGACTCACGCACAAATCACACATTTCTCAAAATAAAACGTTAAGTTAATTTTGCTTTTCCATCTTTAAACACCCCCTCCCTTTTCCAGTCATCCACCCACATGTATAATGTGTCACATCTCCTATTATAAACATACCTTGCCATGGTAAAAAAGTAAGTGAAGAGAGGCTGTAAATGGTTAAATGAACGCAGACACACTGTTCTGCAGTAAATGGGAGACATCCATGCTTAGAATTTTTGAAAGCTTGAAGAGGAGTTATGTTTATGTGCCACTTGCATTAGAGAACCTCTTTTATGCAGAAAGGTATGATACCCTAAATAAACATATACATTTCTCTAGATAACTTAAATCAATTAAATATAAAGATGACATTTCTCTCCAGATCTATAACGATCTTTAAAGAATATAGTAGTAGCATTATGAGTTCACAAGAGCAAACACTATAATCTCAGTTTACGTTATAGCTAAGAGAAAAAGAACTCACCAAGCCTTCAGTCTCTTTTTCAGAATTTAAATGAATACCTTCACTGAACATCAATGAGGCATCAGGTTTACCATTGCAAAGGATATTCTCTGCTATTTGCACATTGGGTTGCAAAAAGGTCAGCTCGTTTCTCTGGGATTCAGAGGACAGACAGATCTGGTAAGAATAAGGCAAGGTCCCCTCCTCATAGTTTGGTGGGAATATGGCTCCCCTCTTTGAACAAGGATCAGGGACAAAACACTGAAGGAACGTCGGGCTTCTTGACCTTTGGAATTTCAGCACAACGGTCAACATCACTGCCACCAGGAACAGAAAGGACACCAAAGCCAAAGCCAATACCAAATAAAACTGCAGGCCAGACTGAGACTCGGAGTCAAGAGGTTGGGCGTTCATCTCTGGGAGGGCTTCCTGGAAGTTCTCCGCAAACACCAGGTTCAAAGTCACAGTGGCTGAGAGAGGAGGATGTCCGTTATCTTTCACCATGACAACCAGCCTCTGCTTCACAGCATCTCTTTCAAGCATTGCTCGGGCTGTTTGAATCTCTCCCGTGTGGGAGCCAATGCTGAAGAGGGAGGGCTCTGTGGCCTGCAGCAGATGGAAGGAGAGCCAAGAATTGTGTCCAGAATCCGCATCCACGGCCACCACCTTGGTCACCAGATAACCCGGCTCTGCTGACCGAGGCACCATCTCAAAGAGGGATGATCCCTCCGTGGCTTGGGAAGGGTACAGAATCTGGGGGGTGTTGTCGTTCCTATCCAAAACACAAACTGTCACCGGGACACTGCTATCAAGAGGTGGCGAGCCTCCATCTTGGGCTTTTACCTGAATCTGAAACTCCCTGAATTGTTCATAATCAAAGGAGCGCTGGGCATAGATGGCCCCAGTCTCGGAATTAATGGAGATATAAGAGGAGAGAGGCAGCTCTTCAAGGTTGCTGCCCAGAATGGAGTAAGTGATTCTGGCATTGCGGTCCAGATCTGGGTCAGAGGCCTTCACCTGGAAGATGGATGCTCCGGATGGGTTGTTCTCTGGAATGTAGGCAGTATAGGAAGGTTGTTCAAAGAATGGGGGGTTATCGTTGATATCCGAGATCCGTATGGAGATGGATTTGTGAGTGGAGAGAGGAGGTGTGCCTTTGTCAGTGGCTATGATTGTGACATTATATTCTGGAGTCCTTTCTCTGTCAAGGGATCCCTCAGTGAGGAGTTTGAAGTAATGATCTGAAGAGGAGACTATCTGGAAAGGCACAAAATCCTGCAGATGACAGACAACATCCCCATTGTCTCCAGAATCCCTGTCAAGAACTTTGATGAGAGCAATCACAGCTCCCGGTGCAATATCTTCAGGAACTGGGCTGGACATGGAAGTAAGGATCACATCTGGAGCATTGTCATTTTCATCAAGGACCTCAATCTCCACATTGCAATGTGTTGCCAACCCACCTCCATCACTTGCTTGTATCACCATCACATAATTTTGTGTATCCTCAAAATCAATATTCTCTGTAACTGTGATTTTTCCATCTCTAGGATCGAGATGAAATTTCTGCTCTGCATTTTCTGGAATATCACTGAAAGTATAAGTGACCTCAGCATTTGATCCCTCATCATTGTCAGATGCTTTGATTTGAAGCACAGAGGTTCCTCTGGGTACATTCTCTTTTATGCTTATCTTGTACCTTGCCTGGGAAAAAACAGGTGCATTATCATTGATATCAGTAACTTTAACTCGTATGTGGGCAGTCCCCATTTTCCTAGGTATTCCTCCATCCACAGCTGTAAGGACCATGTAGTGCATGTCTTTTTTTTCCCTGTCCAATTGTTTCTGCAATATTAATTCTGCGTATTTCCCACCATCATTACGATGCTTATCTTGTACCTTGCCTGGGAAAAAACAGGTGCATTATCATTGATATCAGTAACTTTAACTCGTATGTGGGCAGTCCCCATTTTCCTAGGTATTCCTCCATCCACAGCTGTAAGGACCATGTAGTGCATGTCTTTTTTTTCCCTGTCCAATTGTTTCTGCAATATTAATTCTGCATATTTCCCACCATCATTACTTTCTTGTATTTCTAGTTTGAAATATGGTGTTGAGGTCAAATTATAATCTTGTAGGGAATTGATTCCAATGTCCTCATCATCAGCCATTCCAAGGGTAAACCGAGCTCCTGGCAGATTAGACTCACTCACTTTAAGGTCAATACTTTCTTTCCGGAAATGTGGGGCATTATCATTCACATCCTCGATAAAAATCTTTATGTGGAAAATATTCAAGGGATTATGTGCCACAACCTCTAGGTTTAGGACACAAGTGGGTGATTTTCCACAAATCTCTTCCCGGTCTATCCTGTCCTTCACATACAGGTTGCCACTGTGTTCATTGAGAGAAAAGTACTGCTTTTCTGAAGAGATTGCAAGCCTGCGCTTTGCCAAGTCTCTCACCTCCAACCCCAGGTCTTTAGCAAGGTTCCCCACAAAGGAGTCCTTCTCTGATTCCTCTGGAATGGAATAGTGAACCTGCTCAGACACCACATAGCAGAACACAGACCAGACTAGGAATAGAAATAGTACTTGCCTCAGAGTGGGCTCCTTGATTCTTTTCATTGTTGTCTTTGCCTTCTTTGCAGTAAAACAGTAGAAATACAGTCCCTGTTAGCTAATCCTTAAGAAACTGATAGCATTTGAAAACCAAGCCTTCTGCTGCGTTTTTCTTTCCCATCAGTTGAAATTTAATGGAGGGATATCATGTCAGGACACTGAAATGTTAATTCACCATTACTGTCCTCCCTTGTTGTCCAACAGTGACACTCTGAGTTTGTTTGAGGAACTGTACTTGCTGACTTTTAAAATAAA